GGGGTGGGGTGGGGCGCAGGGCGGGGCGGAGAACTTCTGCAGGCTCACTGACTGCAGGGTGCCAGGTCCTAGTTCTCTGGTCTCTTTTCTCCTGATTTGGGTTCAGATTTGATGTCTGCTGTGGCTGGCCCTCCTCTGGGCCCCTGCTGCCTCCCCACGTCAATCCCTGATGCCTCATGTAGCCTCAAGACAGCTTTCCCAGCCAGAGCTAAGCTCAGAAGAATCCCAGTTTGTCCCTGGCTCTGCTGCCCTCTAGCGGTCCCTGGCTGTGAGCCACCTCCTTCAGAAGTGACATTGACCCTCTTGGTAGGAAGCAATGGACAGCTATAAGTTCCTCTGCACTTGGCAGACTAGATCAGAAAATTTCATTCTCTAAAACTGAGCCAACTCAAAACAAATGTGGGGGAATTAAAGGCGGGGGGGGGGCGGGGAACAAAACTAAACAAACAACAAATGCATTTAGCCATCTGTAAATGGGAGGCAGTGAGAGTTTGGCATTGAGGGGCCTAGATTTGAAAGCTAAAACCAGGGAACAAGACTTAGAAGGCTGTGTGACTTAAAGCAAGTCATCCAACTTGTGTGAGCTCAATTTCCCCAGGTAGGGCAAATCCCTGCCTTACCTGCCTCATGAGATTATAGTGGCAATCAAATAAAACAGTGAATGTTAAGTGCTTTCTAAATTATAGAGGGCTACACAAATTTGAGGTAAGACGATGGTTTGTAAATATTGAGATTAGAGTGTTGCTAAATGTTAATCAGTAATCACACAGCGTTTTAAGATTTGGCATGTACTAACTCATTTAATTCTTTCAATAACTGTAAAATGTTGATTCTATTATTATCCTCGTTTTGCAGATGAAGGAACTAAAGTACAAGGAGGCTAAGTATTTACCCAAAGCCACTTTGTTAGCAAATTACAGAGCTCAGGTTTGATGTTTAGTCAGCCCCATTCTAGAGGCTATGCTCTTAACCTCCACCCTTGACTATCTCTTTGGAACATTCCATTCTATGCCAGCTGTGCAGCTTTGTGATATGTGACTTATTCTCTCAAGAGAGCCTAACAACTAACAAAGAACATGCTTTGCAGATAAAAGGCCCCAACTCTGGAATCCAGTGTAGCTTCTAATATAAATCAGTGTACTTTCATTCTGGTCTTGGTTAATGTAAGTCTTTGACTTTGGCTGAGTTGAGAGAATTCGATTTCTGTGTCTGCAAAGCTTGAAAGAAAATCTGGGGTCCTGTGGTGAGGTTCTCCCACCTGCTCTAGAGGCCTGTCCTTCGTCCCCCACTCTGCCAGGGCGGCCACCTCCTCTGGCCACCACATGACCTACCCCAGTCATGGAGCACATTTGGGCTGTAATATTTGACCATTAGAAGTTCGAGGCATAGCTGATAAATAAGCATCTGGGATCACTTACAAAGCAAGATGAAAACCATATTATCTCACGAGCTGGCATCAGGGAAGAAAGAGTTTTTCGCACAGGAAAAACTTCTACCCAGTGATATGCCTCACTGGGTAGAAGGAGGTAACCAGTGGCAGGAGCCCAACGCAGCAAAGGAGAATTGCCAAACAGCTTTGCAGGAAAGAAGAAAACGAAACAGGAGAGAAGAGATAGGGAGAGGGGTTTATCAGTGTGTGTGGATGCCTAATGCTCTATCAGAAGTGGCCTGTGCTGTGGCAGGTAAATTCTCCTACGTGTTTCTCTCTCCATCCTCACCCTCCACAGTAGAGTCTACTGTACTCATGAATGCTTTGTGTGGCTTAGGGGTTTCAGTAGAAATCACGAAAGGGGCTCACATATATAGAAGAGAGACTCTCAGAGTCCACAGGAATTACGGCCCCTGCGGTTTCAAATTTCCATAGATTACTAAATGAGGGTTCACAATAATGTTATCTTGATCTCTAAGGAGTCAGGGAATACTAGCTGGCATCTGGGTTGTATTTACTGTCACTATTATCTCTAAGGACTCTGTAGACTATCACTCAGGCAGACAGGAGTAGATCAGGGGCCTGGTGGAGATAAGAGGAGATGAGGATGGTGACATGGCAAGAACAAGCCACCTGGAAGTGGGATGAGAAGCTCTGCGATGAGAAGCTACCAGCCTGATCCATCCAGTGTTCCCATCCAGACCTAACTCCATTTGTCCTTTCGTTGTCTTTCAAAGGAACCAAGAATGCCAAACACCTGTTATTTGGCGGTCAGATAAATACTATAGAGGAGCGTTTGTCTGTTCTGTTGTTTCATGAGTTTTACCTTAGATTTTCAAGATAGAGCTTAGGGGAGGGTCATGGTGAGGGAACAAGCTACAAGCTCCAGCACCATACCTGTAAACAGAGGTCCTGAATCAGAATCCTCTGTGACTTTCAGAAATATCTGTCAAGAAGGAAAAAGAAGAAAGAATTGGATTTGGACATTCCTACTCTCAGAAAAATCTAAGCCAAGATCAATTTTCCTGGGTATTGCTTCATAATTGGAAGAAAATACATCATGACTCTTTATCTAAGAATATAGTCTTCTATAAATACAAAAGTGTATGCACATGGTGACCACAAGTATGTAAAATATGTATGCAAATGGACAAAGGCAGGAGGAAGTAAGCCCAAAATGAAGATAGTTGCTATGCTTGGGTGAGGACTTATGGCTTTTTGCCTTTACAAAACTTCTCTCTAGTGTGAGACTTTTGCAAAGAATTCCCTCTTCTGGTACCTGGCAGAAACCAGCTGTAATCTCTGCCTTACCTCTTCCAGGGGAGTGTCAGAAATTCCAAAGCTGCTGAGCCCCAGTTCAGCCAGTGTCTCCTCCAGCTCTCTAAAAAGGTTGGCATATGCCCTCTGCTTGAAATTCTTATTCGGAAGGAGGAAGATCAGTTCCTGACCAATGCATTCTACCAGCTTTGCCTCTGGAACATGGTGATGAACCACATCCATCAGCTCATTCACATCCCCTAGGACAAAAAAAAGGAATGAGGTTAACTCTGTTTTCTAGAATCTGGAAGATTGTGAGCTTCCCCGGTTCCCTAATTTCTTCCACCTCCCATTTGAGGAAAGGGCATTTTGTTCCTCAGGATGGACTCTTTTGGAGGACTGATACTCTAAGATGTCTGTTTTTAGCTTAATGGCCCCACCATGGGCACTGAGAGGAAAAGGGAGATGGATCCAAAGTGCCCCCGCCCCCGACTAACTAGCTGTGCAACCTTGGGAGGTCATGTAATGCCCCGTGTCAGTTTTTGCCTTTGTTCGATTGAATGTTCTGTTTCTTACAAGTTATGTAACACTGGGTATTCCATACCCTAGTTTCTTCATCTGTGAAAAGTGGAAATAATGGCATTGACTTAATTTTTATTTGTGAGGATTGAGTGAGTTAATATACACAAGACACTTAGAACGATGTGCTTGGTGCACTGATGAGAATTACCTGCTATTGTTAGCATGGACGTCAACTCAAGTAAGAAAGTGCTTGTCATTATTGCTCATTCTGATTCACCACAAGCCTGAGGGTTAAATCAAGTTGTTTTTATTTTCTTGGTCTGTCTCAAGCTATAGGGGACTTGCCTAGGATGCATATCTGCAACGAAGCAGAGTGAGAACTCCCCTTCCTAAATCGCATACCCATGCTGCTCTCACTTTTTGGAGGACCATGTCAGTTCTCTTGGGATTGCACCTGCCTCCTCAAGCAAAACAAAACTTAAAACCCAGCTCTCAGGAGATGAAGAAGGGGATTCAGATGATGTGGAGATGGACCAGGGGGATGGAGCGTGGGGTGCACAGCATGGGGTGCGGGAAAGTATCCAGTATCAAGTACTGACCCAATATCCTCGTACAGTTGGAATTGAATTTTATGCATATGCATGTATTACTTTTAAAATTAAAAATCTAATTTTAAAAAAGTTCAAAGCATACATTTGAGAAGGCAGCTCTCTAGCACAATATCTTAGGAGGCAGGTCAAAGGTAAAGAGATTTTGGGGACTCAGAACCTGGCTCTCGTGTGCATTTCCATAAGCAGTGCTCACAGGTCAGGATCACCCAGTGGGCTCTTTCCTCTTTTTGCTTTAGAAATGACCCATGTGAAGGGATTTCATGGTTTGCAACCCAAATTCTTTTGCCTAGCTGGACTGGAAGGCATGTTTTGTGTCAAACCTGCAAGTTGGACTCAATTGTCTTTTGGTTCAGGGACAACTTTGCACAGAGGCTGGAGGGCTCCTTGCGTGAGGAAGCGGCTCTTCCCTAACAGCTTTCTAGGCGTCATGCTCATTGTTCTCAGGAAGGAAATCTAACCTGAAGCTGCTGGATTCCCAGGAATTGTGTCTTAGATGTGTGTATAAGCCTTTCCAGAAGTTGTCCTTTAGGACAGCAAGGAGGTCTGTGAGTGAGTGTGTGGTACATGGGCGTGTACAAGGAAAAAGTCTTCCAAGGACTGAACTGGAGATTAGAATGACATTCTTCTCTGATTTGGGGCTTCTTGCCATTCACAGCACCCCTATTCTACTCAAAGAAAATAAGCCTTTATTTAGAAATAAAGAAGTGTTTTTAAAATCACCCCAGCCAGCAGGCTCTGTTTCCAACTTGATTTTGGTGCACCTCAGTAATAGTGTTCATTTTCAAAAGCTATCAATTTCTTGACCAAGATTCCTCCTGGGAATGAACATCAGAGCCCAGGGAGGAACCCACAGCCAAGCAGGCTAGGAAAAAGGCACAGAAATGTCACCCTACAAAACGTGTTCAAGCTCACCACAGGTTCTGTCTGCGCAAAAGGAGGGCAAAAAAGTAAACATGATGCAACTCTGGGCATTTTCCCTCAAATTTTAAGCATAGTACATAAATATCGTTTCGTTTTCTTGTTTTACCAGATTTTAGTTTATAAATTCCTCAGATTTAGAAAAAACAATGTGCTAAGTAGAAAACGTTTCCCTTAGATAAGCAGATACTTCCCCACTTGATCAGCCTGGGTCAGTACATAGGTTTAGTTTTACTCCATTTAGGGATATGAAGCATGTGCTATTTCATTTGCAGAGACCCCCAGGGGAGGGATAGGAGGTGGGCGTTAATGAAGAATGGAAAGTTTCTCGCAAGCACTCTGGGTCCCTGAGGTCAGATCCTGTGGGGTGAATGCTTTTACAGTGACAGCCTCTCTTCTGCATTGTCCTGTAGACGGGGGCGCCCCTACGGCTTAATGTACCCTAATTCAAGGGAGAATTGCTAGAAAATTGGTAAATTAAGGGGAAAGTTAGGAGTGTGACCAGGATGTGCGATATTTCAGACTTGGCATTCACACAGTGCCATCTCTCTGGAAAAGTTCACTGTGAGAGCTGTACATCACTGTGGCTCCACCAGAGGGCTCCATCTGGCAACTTTTGAAGCCTAGCTTTCCGGGCCCACAGGAACTTGGCCTGAGCCAAGGCAGGAGGACCTCAAGAATGGAGGTTGAATTATGAACAAGTGCACGGAATGAACAAAGACTGGATTCCTCATTAAAGGGATAGAGCCATTAGGCTCATGACTTTTAAAATCCTTTTGGGGTTGGAGGAGGAGAAAGCAGCTCAAAGAAAAAGAGAAGCAATTTCATGACATGGACTTGAAACACAGAGTGTCCTCTTTGCACGACAACAGGAGACACACCCAGCACCGAGAGATGATTGCCAGACAAGAACCAAGATGTGACGTGCCCCAGTCCTCACCGTCCAAGACTTGTTCTGGAGTTATCTCATCTACATGGGCTGGACACCTGATGGAGGAATCCTTAGATGCACAGCTGCAGGTCCCCTACAACAGATGGACACGAATCACTTCAATGATAGTATCTCCCCGATGTCAACTGCTGTCACCACCATGCCTTATTTGTTTCTCACCACCAAATGTGCTCAAAATATTTTTCTTCACATATTTAATTTATTGCTTCATTGGAGCATTTTGAAGGTGTGGCTATTTGATTTTATCCTGTAGAGTGTGTGAGTCAGGCACAGAGAGTAGTAGAACCTCAAAGGATCCTTCTGGCTTGCCATTACTTATGTGATAGCTGTGGGTCTGACTGTGCGAGACATTCTGCTCCTCCCTCCCCGTGGATTCATGCTGGGCTGTGGAAATCTACCCAGGGTTGGAAAACTCAGAAGCAGCCAGATACTTAAACTACAGGCCAGAGGCATAAATAATGCTACGATATAATAAGTGTGACAACCTGAAAGTGAGTAGTGTCTGTTCTCAAGGAGCCCAGAGAACACTTATACTACTTTATCTCATTTATCTTCATCGCATGCCTCAGAAGCAGAAGGATTTTCTGTGTGCAAAAACAACAACAACAACAAAACAATAACAACAACAACCCCCCCGCCCCACACACACAGCGATGACAGAGAATTAAGTCATTTGCCTAGGATGACACAGTTTGTCCACCTTGCCGCCCAGACCTGAACCTGGGTCTCCTGATATGCCGAGGGGCTCTCTGCTGGTTGGTATTTTCTAGCTTTTTTCATTTTAGGTTATAGTTCCCAAGGAAGCCTTTTCTTAGTCCTCATTTACTAGTGGAATTTGGGTTTAGTTAGGGAACATAAATGTTGGAATGGAAAAAAGGAAGCTGAAACAACTACTCTCCCTAGAACAGTGTAACCTTGCAGAATAAGACAAACAGTCTGTTGCACCACATGAGTGTAGTTTAAGATTCTGCAGTACAATAATCTCAGGTCATTTAAGATTAGTCGTTTCATTTGGGGCAAAGCGTCTCTGTAGGAGGGTTTGGAATGTCAGTTTATCAAAATCTACAGATGGTTCCAGGAACAAAGAGGTCTATTTTGCCAGCTAGAGCCTGATTTGGGTAGAAATGTCTGGAAAGGAAGCAC